ATCCCGGTTGTAGAGATAAAATAATAATGCTAAACGCGCGCGCGGAAATGGTGATCACATTTTATGTAACACACATTTCAATACCGAATATTGTCCATAATTCAGCGCGCTCCAATTTTCAGCGTAATAAAAAGTCGATCCATTAGAAACGCCGTCGAGTTACTTGCTACACATTCGATCGCTGTTACCTATATCGACGATCCGGTTCCCGGGCAAAATCCTACGAAAAACAAGCCACTCGGCCCGGCAGGCGAAAATTGTGTGCACCAGTTTCTCCGCTTCTTTGCTCCATTTTCTCGGCAATTATTATGCAAGGCTCTTATCGAATCGGGGGCCGCAATTACGCGGCCGGGCGGCGTGCAGAAATTTCGTCTGGGTCACCGGAACGGGTTCGTCGTATGATCAAATGTCACAGGTCGCTTACGCGTGTCTAGTAATTAGGTAACGCGAAAGCCGGAGGGATATCGGTCCGCGACATGTACAAGCCGCTTGAAAACGCCGGTTTCGCGACGAAAAAGAAGCATTATTACGCGATCGAGGGAGTGGACCGTGTCTAATATAAATCGACAATAACTCCGGTATGACTCAGGTTTTCGCTCGTGCAAATTGCACGTTGCACCGGAGGTGAATCGTAACTCCGTTCTCCGTACATATTTAATAATTCGATCGACCTCGACACCCGCGTAAATCAACGAGATGTAAATCGGAACGAAATTGCTCCGGGAACCATAAGTTTCGATTGGGCCGGTGTGTTTAAAGGATACCCGATGAATCCGGGGCATAAAACTTGAATGCGGCGGATAATCGATCGTAAATCGAACGTCGCGTCGCTAACAGTTCGATCCGGTTGGAAAGGACTTCGACAAAATACAAGACAATATACGATATCTGCTGAAACATCGCCTTGATTTTGAAAAAGTATTCATAATATAATCTTGTCTTGCTTTTGTTTAATTATTCCGATAATTATTATTAATAATTATTATATATTATTATTCCGATAA